TCTTTTACATCTGTTATCTCTGCTCCAAAATCATTCCCCAAGCTCTTCCTTTAGATATAACTGAATGAGCCTCATCTATCACACCAAATGAGTAAGTCGCTTTCAGACCCCGCCCCCCCGCCCCACCAAAAAAAAAAAAATTTATTATTTTAGCTCCTGAGAATGGAGGCTGTGGGAAAATCAACGTTGTCGTATTCGTTTTTTCAAGAGGAACTTTTTAACAAATGAAATAAATTTGAGCCACTTAATACGCATGCCCACCTGCGAAAACCAAAGATGGTTTTTGGTCTTGTTCCGTAAACAACTAAAGACACTCGAGTGTTGGTTCGGGAGATCGCGAAGCCCATCGTGAGACCTCGGACAAAGTTGATTACTCTTCGGAAGTTACCGACACCATATCTTTCAACACTTGAAGATCCGTCCACCAGGAAAGCCAGGTCGATTTTAGCACTACAAGCTGTCGGGGTAAGAGAAATAAACGGCGATTAATTCTGTGAATAGATTCACAAAAACAACATCTAAATACATTACGACTGACACTTTCTAACATTTTAACTTAGAGACTACACAGAAATCGTAGTTTTAAAAGAATCGTCGCTAAAAGACAATTCAGGGCAACATCAATCCTTTTGCCCAGTTTTATGATAATGTTGGCTGATAAATGTATTTCTCAATAAGATTATATGAAAGGTGTATCAGACTCACGATGGCTTATTGGTGTGTGTACCAACTTACAACAGAAAATTTCTCTTACCTTGAGCTTTTGTTGGTTTTGCTGCGGAGAGAAAAATTAATATAAGTTATAAAGTTTGCAAGGAACTTGGTTCAATGTTAGATAACTGCCAACAAATGGCTCAATAGGATCGGCCGATTGCACCGTGTTACAATTCATTGATAAATAATGAAAGAACAAAGCAAAAAATTTAATTACATTCGGTAATGACCAGTCTCATGTACTTCGTTCTTTCCCCTAATCCTCAGGGGTAAGTGTAAATTGAAATATATCGAAATTGTTGCACTGTTTCCCAAAACACGGTCGATGTATTTATTAACTCATCCCGTATTCACTTTTTCAAAGCCAATTGTTTAAATTCATTATTTATTTGTCAGACTCCTCAAAAGTATTTTTTTCTCCATCGGTCTACTTCACATCTTCGTTTTTTTCGAGTACTTCAACATTGCGTTATTTTATTTTCTGCGCCCTCTTTTATCCGTTTTGTTTCTCAGCATTACTTACGGCAAGGTGGACACATTCCAGGCAGCACTTGAGGTGAAACAGCAAACGACTGGTCAGCAGGATTATCAATTCTGTTTTCTTGCTTCATGGAGTCGTCATTAAAACGTCCCTTCTCCTTGTCATCATCATCGTCATTATCATTTTCATCCTCATCTCTTGTATCGTTGCTGTCGTCATCTTCATCGTCGTCTTCATCATCTAAATCGTCGTCTTCGTCGTCTACGTCTTCGTCGATGTTTCCGTCCTGACGGGTCCCCTGTTTTTCCGACCCTTCTTTTTCGGCCTTCTCATCAGCTTCTTTTTCCTGTTCTACGGCCTCTTTTTCGATTTCATCTTTATAGTCGTGCGGTTTAGAAGAATCGTCTTCGTTTTGTTGTGATGTGTCTTTTGCAGCATTTTTGGGAAGATAGTTTTCTGGCAACTTTCCGTCGGCATTTTTCTCAGGTTGTTGTACAGCAGAAGAATACTGTTCTTTGGAGGCACTAGCAGAATCATCTTTCTCTGGAAACACACCTTTACCATCGCTATCTTCAGAAAAACCGCCGTAAAACTGTTTTTCATTTTCTCTTACGTTATACCCTGCGTAACTCTGATCAGTTCCGTTATACTCCGCTTGGTCATCGACACCTGAAATAATCTGTTTTATTTGCGGTAGCATACTGTGGTGGTGTTGGCACAATTGGAGACTGAAAGCTGAGGAGAACAGGAGGCTTGTAGCTGGAGTATCCGGGATAATTACCGTATCCTTGGAAACCGTTATACCCACCATAGTTTGAACCACATGGTGGTTTACCTGAAATAGAAAAAGAGTAAAATTGATATCAGTTTCTTTCGCCTTTCCATTGCTCGCCCGCTTGCACTTACTGAAATTCTGGCACAGACTAGCGTATCATAGGAACCACTTAAAATAGAGGTCAGGAAAAAGAAGAGAACACCCTGAGGAGTAAATCTCTGCCAGTCTGTCAATGGTGTTATGCGCGCCCAGGCGACTTATCAGAGACCTTTTTGATTCTGGCAAATTCAAAATTTGAGCATCCCAAGTCATGTTCGCAATCAGGAAAGCAATCGCGCGTAGCTGTTAGGCGGAAAAGGAACATGTCCTGTTAAGATTCATTAACTGACTCACCTGGGCATACCATACTTGGTGGACAACATTTCTGGCTAGAATAGCCATAAGGTCGTGGGGCTCCCCAAGCTATGATAAAAATAAGATAGCAATAAAAATTTTATTACGAATATAGGCACGACCAAGAGCATTACTTCTGTTTAAATTTGGGTAATATTTACGCATTGTGCAATGACTGTGTGTAGCATGCAATTCGCGTGAACTTAAGCTGGTGCTGTATGGGTGAATACGTGCGTACAATCTTCGTTTGTTCCATTATTCTTTAAGTTAAGAAGATATAGGGGATTAATTGTTAATTGTTGTTAATTGTTGTTAATTGGACAGCTTGTCCCTCAGCATAAAAGCGAAGCTCAGTTCATTCAAGTCGAGTTGACGAAGTTTATCCCCCATATCCTAAATTTAGACAACGTTCACAAGGCACCACAAAACGTATAATGATCCGAAGTGAACTTCATTAGTTTAGGTGTTGCGTTCACACGGAATCATCTTAACCGTACGAAAATTTAGACGCCTAAACGTTCAAAGTTCCGTGTGAACAGAGCGAAAATATTGAACGTCCCGTGTGAACCAAGTGTCCGGTCAAATTGTTCAGTGAGATGAAAATTCGTCTGATGCCGTGTGAACGTCGGCTTAGTCACGTTGGTATGATCGTAGAGCATTTTCTATTCAAATACAAAAAAAGCAGTCAGACCAATTCCTTGCATAACAAGTTATGTGTCTTATATACCTAAGTTTTGCCTCTTCACTGGCTGTTCATCTTCTTCATTATCGGTAAGGAAATGTTCTTCTGATAACTTTTCACTTCCGTCTGCCTGTTCACCTGTTTCCTTGATTTTCTCGGCCTCTTGCTCAATTCCAGTTTCTTTCTTTTTGTTTTCTTGCATTGCGTTCATCACCTCACTTGCACGGCTGGCGTGTTGTGAAGAAGAAGACTGTCCCTTTTTGTCATCTACGATATCACTACTTTTCTCTACGTCGTCTAACATGGTCGTTCTATTACCTTTATATCCCCCGACTCTTATAATCTCAGTGTCCCTATCATTTCCGTTTTTCCAGTCGCTAGTATCATACGTGTTGTTCTCCGCGTTGGTGGCGTTTGTTTCTAACAAAGTGTACCATTCACTTGAGTTGAGATTTCCCTCAGGGACGTGACTTAATGAATCATCTGTGGTATTACCATTATCTTCACTATTATCTTCTGTACCTCTTTTTTGACGAGTATTAGCTACATAGTAGTACTCCGTCGATTGTTCGGCATTAGCGTCATTGACATCGACATCTCTTTTCTCTCGGAATGATGGTTTCCCTCTCTGGAGCATGTCCGTTGAGAGGTCAGTTCTCAAGTCAGCATGCGTATACCATTCTTGAGTGATACAGTGGTCTGCTAGAAGAAGCAACAGTGNGATTTTCTCGGCCTCTTGCTCAATTCCAGTTTCTTTCTTTTTGTTTTCTTGCATTGCGTTCATCACCTCACTTGCACGGCTGGCGTGTTGTGAAGAAGAAGACTGTCCCTTTTTGTCATCTACGATATCACTACTTTTCTCTACGTCGTCTAACATGGTCGTTCTATTACCTTTATATCCCCCGACTCTTATAATCTCAGTGTCCCTATCATTTCCGTTTTTCCAGTCGCTAGTATCATACGTGTTGTTCTCCGCGTTGGTGGCGTTTGTTTCTAACAAAGTGTACCATTCACTTGAGTTGAGATTTCCCTCAGGGACGTGACTTAATGAATCATCTGTGGTATTACCATTATCTTCACTATTATCTTCTGTACCTCTTTTTTGACGAGTATTAGCTACATAGTAGTACTCCGTCGATTGTTCGGCATTAGCGTCATTGACATCGACATCTCTTTTCTCTCGGAATGATGGTTTCCCTCTCTGGAGCATGTCCGTTGAGAGGTCAGTTCTCAAGTCAGCATGCGTATACCATTCTTGAGTGATACAGTGGTCTGCTAGAAGAAGCAACAGTGTGCTTCTAAACAGTAAGGGAACTAGCATCTCAAACCTGAAAAGAAATATAACATCGGTTAAGTTCTATTAAAATATACCACTCCCTTATTTGGCCTAAATGGGTATGCGCCATCGAACAAGGTATGGTTTCCGGGGTCTCCAGTCTTTAAAAGGATAAAACAAATTTCATTTCTTGGCACCCTTAACAGGGTGAACAGGGCGTGAACCAATCTCGCACCGAGAGACTTCTGGCTTTTTGGTCAGCGTGGCAAAAGCTAGAAGACTCCGGGTACGAGATTGGGCGTGAGCTTAGGCAAAGCGCAAACTACATGTGTGATACAAGCCTGCGTAGGAAGCGTTTCCGTGCGGTTTCGGAGAAAATAACGAGGAACGAGAGTCAAAGACCGCGCATTTCTCGCGCGGCTAAAACCGAAAATCTCGTTCCTCAGTCTTTCTTTTCTCCGAAACTAAACGGAAACATAATTCTAATGGACAAAACAATCAGTTTGTAGGCGTAATGAGCTGGAGTAGGGTCACCAAAAAAAAAGGTTATTTAACTTTAAAAGGGTAATGAAATGAATGGATTTCGTCTTAAACAGAATCAGACTTTGCGGGCATCGGTGGCACACCCCCACTTAAACTTACCGTAAGAGCCCTAGCCAAAAAAATACACCGTAACTTTTTCATTCAAGATACTTTATGCTTAAAATTTTTAAAGAATTCTACCTTTAACCATATCATATTTATTTTATCGAGTGGAGCATAATATTGCCTTCACTACTGAAAATATTCAACCGTGTTAACACACTAACAAGGTTTGGAAGCATTACAAATTTCAAAGAAACCCAGATTAAAGAGAACCAAGTCTTTCTCTCGGAAATACAAGACTATTAATAAAACAAAACCCGGTGGCAAGAATAGCAACAGTGCGAGCCAACAAAAAAACCTAAGTTCTAACTTCTCTCCGATAAGTGATCATCTATATAACTGCTTTTCCGGTTGTTGAAAATAGCAAAGTTCACGGGACAGTACAATACCATATATCTAAGCATAGTTAGTAGATATGACGTAAGACATTCTTAGATTTAAGAGAAAAATCTCGTCTTTCAGTTGCCACCCACTGGTTTGTCCTAACACAAAAGACAATACACTTATTGTCTAGTGAAAGAGCCATCGAATATAGGTTAAACAGCAGTAGGTTCTTATTTTCATAAGGTTGTGGACGCCTGGATTTGGGTCAAGTTTATGTTGTTCACTTAACACAGTCGTGTTAACTCAATCCTGATTTAAGAGTTAGAGATAACACATTTTAACATCCACCTAAATAAGACAATCAACTCCACAATTTATTTTTACTTGCAAAAGAATGTTTCCAGGAGCCCCAAATGAAAACGATTGTCATATACGTAAATAAAGAGTTGAGCAAAGAAATTTGAAAGGTTTTCATTTTTTACTGCGATCAACAGAAAATTTCCACCAACTGCAACAAAATCCCTTTTTTCAATTGTTTCACTTCATAATAAAAGGATATTTCAGTCGTTATGTCTATTGCGTAGAATGACTTGCTCTATGAATGGCACAACTCACCTTGCAGCTTACATTAATACATTTCGCAGGACATTTTCCAGAAAAGGAGTCTTCGATTAAATGCAATAATATGATTTTATAAGAACGCGACTAAAAAATTCATGTCTTATCATTTTTATCTCATTATTCACCTGTACCAATCAGGTCTGTTTAAAACGTTTCTGTCAAACAAAAAAACTATTGCTTATATTTTAGAAATATGTGTCATCACTTATGGTAATGTTATTAAAAATGAAGTGTGTCATAGATACTTTTCACTCCCCAAAATGAATTTTTTAATCCTATATTTTTTACCGGTGCGATCATAGATATCAAAACAGACTGATTATAAAAGCGGGGAAAGTCAAAAGGTGAAACCCTTGAAGGCACAATTTTTTCACTCAGCGGTCACTAATATCGTCAGTTGTTACGAGGTGGTTTATATTGTACACTGTAGAAGGTCAAGGCCAAATACAGTTAATAATAACAAAAAAAAACTGAATTTGTCAGGGCTTTAAAAACAATTTTAATTAAGTTAAATTCATTCGATATCAACTGGTCTCTCTCCTTAACTTCCGCCCAAACGTTTCACAAGGGTTTTGGCAGGTATATACATTTTTGGTTTGTAAAAATAACGGATTTGTTTTAGCTGACCCTTTAACTACAAGCATGATAAAATACATGGTCCTGAAAATGACCTTATGCATTTCTTTACAAGTGATCTTTTGAAATCCAAAAATTCAAAAGGGTTAATTAGTTTGGAAGGGCACCAATCATTTAACGTTTGTCTTAACTGATGATACGACGAAGAAAAATGCTTTGAAACTTACACAGGTGACATCCCAGCACCAGCACACTAACATAAATATNTTTAATTAAGTTAAATTCATTCGATATCAACTGGTCTCTCTCCTTAACTTCCGCCCAAACGTTTCACAAGGGTTTTGGCAGGTATATACATTTTTGGTTTGTAAAAATAACGGATTTGTTTTAGCTGACCCTTTAACTACAAGCATGATAAAATACATGGTCCTGAAAATGACCTTATGCATTTCTTTACAAGTGATCTTTTGAAATCCAAAAATTCAAAAGGGTTAATTAGTTTGGAAGGGCACCAATCATTTAACGTTTGTCTTAACTGATGATACGACGAAGAAAAATGCTTTGAAACTTACACAGGTGACATCCCAGCACCAGCACACTAACATAAATATTCTCTTTGAATTCTAGTAAATTCTGCTACAGGTAATACAGTCGAACCTCCATATGTGCGACCACCTCCGGTAATCGACCACCTCCCATAAGTGACCGCCTATCCAAAACTCCAAACTTTTCCCACCCAAATTACTATACTCGGAACCACTCGTAAACGACCACCTTTCGTAAGGGAACACTTCCCATAAGTGACCACCGACCTGAAACAACAAAAATTTCCAGCTCAAATTACTATACTCGGAACATCTCGTAAATGACCACCTCTCATAATTGACCACCTATTCAAAACACTAAACATTTTCCACCTCAAATTACCATACTCGGAACATCTCGTAAACGACCACATTTCGTAACCGACCACCTACCATAAATGACCACCCATTCAAAACACCAAAAATTTCCAACTCAAATTACCATACTCGGAACATCTCGTAAACGACCACATTTCGTAAGCGACCACCTCCCATAAGTGACCACCTATTCAAAACACCAAACACTTTCCACTCAAATTACCATACTCGGAACATCTCGTAAACGACCACCTCCCATAAGTGACCACCGAACCAAAACACCAAAATTTCCAACTCAAATTACCATACTCGGAACATCTCGCAAACGACCACCCCCCATAAGTGACCACCTATTCAAAACACCAAACTTTTCCCACTTAAAGTACTCTACTCGGAAGCTATCACTCGTAAGCGACCGCGTCAACTTTTTGTTGACAAAGTTTTAAAAAAAATTGCATTGTTGTTAACCTCTTGTAATAGACAACTTGACGCATGGTCTCTAGATCTTCCCTGTATGTACTGTGCTAATCAGAGTACTGCAAGTAGTAAAAAAGTGCACATGTCATATGTCGGAAAAGACTCCCTGTGGTTCGATTCTTGTAAGCCACCACCTTCTTGAAGTGACCACTGACTCTTCATATTTTGGGTGGTCGCTTACAGGAGGTACAACTGTAGTCTTAAACAACAAAGTTAAGAAAATGGTAGTTGGTAGATGATGGAAAACGGAAGAACTATTTGAATTGTGTCACTCGATGTCCATTACATATTAAAGGTAAAATTGAAATGTCAGCGGGCAGCCTCGTTCCCAGTCGTCTTCGGCGATTTCGGATGTGACGTCACCTGTCAAGCTTGGCGGGAAGGTCAGCACTCGTTAACATCCGTCGAAAGGCCCTTGGACACCTTATGATTTTTACAAAAGGTAGAACTGTTTTCTGCTTTTATATCACACTTAAATGATATTTCAAGCTGGAAATCATTTATGAAAGTGCAAGTCTCTTCGACTTAAAAGGAAAAAAAATGATGTGAAGGGCAAGAGGATTCGACCCTATGTCCTAAATTGCCATTACACCACACAACCATCCACTAACCACTAGACCACTGGGGATTTGTTGGATGGTAGGGAAATAATTAAAGTACACTTAGCATCAACCCCAACCCAACAAAAGAACCTAACCCGTTTCGAAACAGTGCTTAACCCTAATAAGTAAAGGAAGTGCTTAACCCTAATTAGTAAAGGCAGAGCTTAACCCTAATCTGTAAAACGCAGTGGTTAACCGGCTAACCCAAAACGATAGGGAATACTACTTTGTGTAAACTTCATAGGGTGTCCAAGGGCCTTTCGACAGATGTTAAAAAGTGCTGACCTGGCGGGAAAGTTCGCCGAGGACTCGCGCTATCGCACTCGGTTCCAAGCCTCCTCTGGTAACTCGGATAGCGCGAACTGGCCTGGGTACGAGGCTGGTCAGCGGGACCTTGTCTCAGACAAACGGCTAAATGGCTCAGTTTAATTAATAACAGAATTCTCGAGTAAACAACTCAAAATTCCTTTTGTGTTAGCTGCCGTGCAATTGCTTTTCACGTTGGAGAGAGGCCCCTTTCAAGAAAACGGAGCAGGGACCATCACAGTGTGGTTTGATGAGCATTATTAGTTATTACAATAAATTTGCCGTTGTACAACAATATAAAATAATATTGGACAAATGACGTCACGCTAAAGGCAGCGACTCAGCTATCTCTGAAAATGGCCGGAAAATTTCAAGCGTTTAGCGACTTAATAACCGAATTGTTGAAAATTTTGCTGTTTGTTTTGTAGACGTTTTTACTACATAACGTGTGCGCGTGATTTCAATCTCATTTCAATACTACATTCAATTATACTGTTGGCATAAGATAGGGATTATGACAATAGCTGTCAAACGTAGAAAAGTGTGCTCATGTTACTTTTCGAGATAGGGATTTTCTACTAGGAGCGTTTTA